ACCCAGCAAAAACAAGCAATGGGGAAAGGATTCCCTGTTTAATAAATGGTATTGGGGAAACTGGCTAGTAATGTGCAGAAAGCAGAAACTAGACCCCTACCTGTCACCTTACACTAAAATTAACTCCAGATGGATCAAAGATTTAAACAAAAAACCTAATACCATAAAAATCCTAGAAGAAAACCTATGCAAAACCATTTAGGACAAAGGCATAGGCAAGGACTTCATGACTAAAACACCAAAAGCAATGGCAATAAAAGCCAGGATAGACAAATGGGATCTAATTAAACTCCAGAGCTTCTGTACAGCAAAAGAAACAATCATTAGAGTGAACTGGCAACCAACAGAATGGGAAAAAATTTTTGCAATCTACCCATCTGACAAAGGGCTAATATCCAGAATCTACAAAGAACTAAAACAGATATACAAGAAAAAAACAACCCCATTCAAAAGTGGGTGAAGGATATGAATAGACTCTTTTCAAAAGAGAACATATATGAGGCCAACAAACATATGAAAAAATGCTCATCGTCACTGGTCATTAGAGAAATGCACATCAAAACCACACTGATATATCATCTCACGCCAGTTAGAATAGCGATCATTAAAAAATCAGGAGGCAACAGATGCTGGAGAGGATGTGGAGAAATAGGAACAGTCTTACACAGTTGGTGGGAGTGTAAATTAGCTCAACCATTGTGGAAGACAGTGTGGTGATTTCTCAAGGATCTAGAAATAGAAATTCCATTTGACCCAGCAATCCCACTATTGGGTATATACCCAAAGAACTATAAATCATTTTACTATAAAGACACATGCACATGTATGTTCATTGCAGCCCTGTGTATGATAGCAAAGACCTGTAACCAACCCATATGCCCATCAATGATAGACTGGACAAAGAAAATGTGGTACATATACACCATGGAATACTATGCAGCCATAAAAAACAATGAGTTTGTGTCCTTTGTAGGGACTTGGATGAATCTGGAAACCATCATTCTCAGCAAACTGACCCAAGAACAGAAAGCCAAGCACTGTATTTTCTCACTCATAGGTGGGTGTTGAACAACGAGAACACGTGGACTCAGGGAGAGGAGCATCACACACAGGGGACAGTTGGGGGGGTAGGGGGGAGAGACAATGGGGGATGGGGAGGGAAGGCAGGGTGGGGAGGGACAACATGGGGAGAAATGCCAGATACAGTATGCACCTAAAGTAAAATAAATAAATTTTAAAATAATAATAAAAATTAAAATAAAATCCTTTACAGACAAGCAAATGCTGAGAGATTCTGTCACCACCAGGCTGGCCTTACAAGAGCTCCTGAAGGAAGCACTAAACATGGAAAGAAACAACCAGTACCAGCCACTGCAAAAACATGCCAAATTGTAAAGACCATCAATGCTATGAAGAAACTGCATAAACTAATGGGCAAAATAACCAGATAGCATCATAAAAGCAGGATCAAATTCACACATAACAATATTAACCTTAAATATAAATGGGCTAAATGCCCCAACTAAAAGACACAGAATGACAAATTGGATAAAGCTTAAAGACCCATTGGTATGCTGTATTCAGGAGACCCATCTCACATGCGAAGACACACTGAGGCTCAAACTAAAAGGATGGAGGAATATTTACCAAGCAAATGGAAAGCAAAAAAAAAAAAAAAAAAAAAAAAAAAGGCAGGGTTTGCATTCCTAGTCTTTGATAAAATACTTTAAACCAACAAAGATCAAAAGAGACAAAGAAGGGCATTACATAATGGTAAAGGGATCAATGCAACAAGAAGAGCTAACTATCCTAAATCTATGTGCACCAAATACAGGAGCACGCAGATTTATAAAGCAAGTTCTTAGACACCTACAAAGATGCTTAGACTCCCACAGAATAACAGTGGCAGACTTTAACATCCCACTGTCAATATTAGACAGATCAACCAAACAGAAAATTAATAAGAGTGTCCAGGATTTGAACTCAGCCCTGGACCAAGCAGACCTAACACACATCTACAGAACTCTCTACCACAATCAACAGAATATACATTCTTCTCAGCATTCCACCTTGCACTTATTCTAAAACTGGCCACATAATTGGAAGTAAAACACTACTTAGTAAATGCAAAACAATGGAAATCATAACAGTCTCTCAGACAACAGTGCAGTCAAATTAGAACTCAGGATTAAGAAACTCAATCAAAACCACACAACTACATGGAAACTGATCAGCGTGCTCCTGAATGACCATGGAGTAAATAACAAAATTACGGCAGAAATAAAAATGTTCTTTGAAACCAATGAGAACAAAGACACAACATACCAGAATCTCTGGGACATATTTAAAGCAGTGTGAAGAGGGAAATTTATAGCACTAAATGCCCACAAATGAAAGCAGGAAAGATCTAAAATTGATACCCTAACACCACAAAAGAACTAAAGAAGCAAGAGCAAACAAATTGAAAAGCAAACAAAAGACAAGAAATAACTAAAATGAGAGCAGAACTGAAGGAGATAGAGACACACACACACAAAAAAACCCTTCAAAAAAATCAATGAATCCAGGATCTGGTTTTTTGAAAGATCAACGAAATAGATAGACCAGTACCCAGACTAATAAAGAAGAAAAGAGAGAAGAATGAAATAGATGCAATAAAAAATGATAAATGGGATATCACCACCAATCCCACAGAAATACAAACTACCATCAGAGAATACAACAAACATCTCTACACAAACTAGAATATCTAGAAGAAATGGATAAATTCCTGGACAGAACTGGAAAAAAAAGAGCCCACATAGCCAACACAATCCTAAGCAAAAAGGGCAAAGCTGGAGGCATCACACTACCTGACTTCAAATTATACTACAATACTACAGTAAGAAAAAAAGCATGGTGCTGGTACCAAAACAGATCTATAGACCAATAGAACAGAACAGAGGCCTTAGAAATAACACCACACATCTACAACCATCTGATCTTTGACAAACCTGACAAAAGTACGCAATGGGGAAAGGCTTTCCTATTTAATAAATGATATTGGGAAAACTGGCTAGCCATATGCAGAAAGCTGAAAATGGATCCCTTTCTTACACCTTATACAAAATTAAGATGGATTAAAGACTTAAAAATAAGACCTAAAACCATAAAAACCCTAGAAGAAAACCTAGGCAATACCATTCAGGACATATGCATGGGCAAAGACTTCATGACTAAAACAGCAAAAGCAATGGCAACAAAAGGCAAAATAGACAAATGGGATCTAAATAAACTAAAGCACTTCTGAACAGCAAAAGAAACTATTATCAGAGTGAACAGGTGACCTACAGAATGGGAGAAAACTTTTGCAATCTATCCATCTGACAAAGGGCTAATATCCAGAATCTACAAAGAACTTAAACAGATTTACAAGAAAAAAAACAACCCCATGAAAAAGTGGGTGAAGGAATGAACGGACAATTCTCAAAAGAAGACATTTATTCAGCCGACAAACATACGGAAAAAGCTCATCATTACTGGTCATTGGAGAAATGAAAATCAAAACCACAATAAAATACCACCTCATGCCAGTTAGAATGGTGATCCTTAAAAAGTTAGAAAACAACAGATGCTGGAGAGGATGTGCAGAAATAGAAACACTTTTACACTGTTGGTGGAAGTATAAATTAATTCAATCATTGTGGAAGACAGTGTGGCGATTCCTTAAGGATCTAGAACTAGAAATACCATTTGACCCAGCAATCCCATTATTGTATATGTACCCAAAGGATTATAAATCATTCTACTATAAAGACACACGCACACTTCTGTTTACTGCAGCACCATTCACAATAGCAAAGACGTGGAACCAACCCAAATACCCATCAATGATAGAATGGATAAAGAAAATGTGGCACATATACACCATGGAATACTATGCAGCCATAAAAAAGGATGAGTTCCTGTCCTTTGCAGGGACATGGATGAAGCTGGAATCCATTATTCTCAGCAAACTAACACAAGAACAGAAAACCAAACACTGCATGTTCTCATTCATAAGTGGCAGTTGAACAATAAGAACACATGGACACAGGGTGGGGAACATCACACACTGGAGCCTGTCATGGGGTAGTGGGCGGGAAGCTAGGGAAGGGATAGCATTAGGAGAAATACCTAATGTAGATGATAGGTTGGTAGGTGCAGCCAACCACCATGGCACGTGTATACCTATGTAACAAACCTGCACGTCTGCACATGTAACCCAGAACTTAAAGTAAAATAAAAAATATATTTTTTTCAAAACTTATTTTTCTGACTTTTGTCCTACAGTCGTAAATATGTCTTTATTTCTTGCTGAATGATTTTTTTGTTGTTATCTTTAACCATTTAGAAAAGTCATTTGATGAAGTATTGAGGGGTCTAATTGTTTAACGGGCAGAAATTAGTCCCTGCAAGAGTACTTTTAAAACTGGCAAATATCAGGCATAATTACAAATTCTTTAGAAGAATCTATTTCTGTACAATAGGTTAATTGGTTATAAGTACACAACACTGACCAAAATTTAAACCCAGCCTCTAATATCATCCATGCCTTTTTCAACAAATTTGAGTGGCTAATTGTGATCAAATTAGGCCCCTTGAAGGAACACTTCACTACTTATCTGTGATTTTCTAGATGTAAGCGATTTTCTAGATGTAATTGCACCTGCATTTGGCTTCCTGCTGGCATACTGCCTACAAAATAGAGAGCTATTTCCAAAAGTTGTCATGGCCTTGTCTGATGATGGGAATTCTGTAGTCAGATGACCAATGTATAATGTAGAATTACAGTGATTTCTTTAGAAGGAGCAAGTCTGTTTTTAAGCCAAAACAGAGATAAATTTACCTAAAGGGGAAAATTAGTTGGGGCCTGTTGAACAAGATAACTGCCTCAACTCTCTGGATATCTACATATAGATGGCTTATTAATTTATGTGAAATGAAAGGTACTTACTCTTCTTTGCATCTCTCTATTTTAGTGGTGCAATCTATGCATTGACTTGGTAGCATTCACCAGTGAAATATTCAAGGGGGCAGTTTTCCAGTCATTGGATGGAATTGTTGTCTCAGCTAACTGCAAGCTACGGAAGATCTTCACCTTAAAATCAAAGCCTCAAGACACTGCTGATAAAGATGGTATGTTCAGGTTGCTATCAAGATTTTTTAGTTCTCTGATGTATTTTTAAAATTAGCCATACCTTTGGGATAGTATGAATGTGTGGTAGCAATCTGATTTTATATCTGCTAAAGTAAATTTGTTCACGGTCATGTTGATTTCTTTGTTCTAGATCAAATGTTTATTCTCACCATAGCTGAATATCACAAAAAAATATTAATCATCTTTTTGTGGTTGTTTTCATTTTTCTTTATGGTAACACTTGCTATCTGCCTTAGGCTCCTTAGTTGCAAACAACATAATCCTTTTTAGGTGGTTGAAAAAGGAAAGGAATTTATTTAAGGAAATTAGACAGTTCATAGAATCTCCAGGATATTTAGAGAGTCAGCTTAGAGCCTGTAGTCAAGAAGAATACAGTCTCCCCCAAGACTAAGTCTAAAGACAACCCCATCCACTTGCCACCCCCACCCACTGCCAGTAGCTACTGCAACTTTACAGAGACTCCGTAAGTCACATCACAATGCTGGGCTACAGGTTCCATAATTTCTGTTGCAGCAGCCCCTGAAAGTAGGATGTTTTCTTCCCTGCCACCCTTATCAAAAGTAGATAAGGGTGTTTGTCTTCATGTTTGTCTCCACTCAAAATGTTTTGTGTGGCTGTTTCTAGTTTGTGGAGTCTAGGTTGCATGCTGCAAGGGAGGCTGGCAAAGTGGTGTCTGATTTCTGACTAAGGTGGCAGGACTCATTGTGTAGGAAAGTCACCAAATTAGGAAGAGTTTGCAAAAGATGTTGGGCATCCAAAAATGTCTTATTACTCTGTGTACATTTCAGGAAGTCACTTAGGAGAAACCTTATTAATTTTCTAGTGATCAAGTTAAACTGGAAAGAGAGTTGAGTTCCTCATATTTCTAGCAAGACTAGAAATATTTACATTAATTATTCATAATTTGGTTTATAAATACACTCTGCAGGTAATTCAGCTCTCTGGAATTCATAAGGTAGCACACCATACTCCTAAGATGGTTTTAAACAACCAAAAGTATTGAAAGAATACTGATGCCTCCTGTTGATCTTCATCTGGGATTATTACTTGTTAAATCAATTCTTCTAGAAGCCCTGGAAGCAGGGCTGCATGTAAGATGTCAAAGGTGATTCTTAGAAGTTTCTATCTAGACTTTAGATTTGTGCTCCATCTGGATGAGAAATCTTGATGTGGCTTACTGTGTATCAGGACACTGTGCCTATGAATTTCACTTGATAATAAAACACAGCAGTGCATTAACAGCTCTCCAAAGTGATCACATACCACAGTGTGGCTGCTCATCTTATGTACCGCTTACAGCCTACATGAGAAAGTGAAAGATTTCATTTTTTAAAATGGCACCCAGCTAATAAGAAGCCTCAAAATTTTTAAAAATATTGGTGCAGTGTGCGTCAGATCATAGGAGGTGAATCATAACCTGATTAATATTTTTAAACAAATGTAAAGAAAAAAGTGGATCAAACATAGCAAAGTACATACGTGTTTCAATCTCTAATCCTTCCTCAAGCCCCACTAAAATTACAATATGTAATAAAAAAGGCATAAACCTACCAAAATAAAGAATATGGGAGAGGAGGCAATGGACAAGAGATGTTTATAAATTTTATAAGATTAAGCAATGACTTAGAAGAACAAAGAAAACTGAAACCTTTAGGCTTATAGAGAGGTTTGCCAAGGAATTTCAAAGAGGCTCAAGAATTTGCAGGTTTACATACTGGCAAAGGCAGGGTAAGGATGAGGGCTAAAAACAGGGAGACTGGTCAAAATTCTGCATAGGTTCCTATAGAAGGACCCCAGATTCCTGTTCTAACTCCATATAACCAAGCCACAGAAGATTTAATCTCTGGAGAAACTCAATCAGTGAGCTTCTGAACGTGGGTGCATCAGGCACTTAATAGACATCAAAATTAACAAGAAGGAAATGGATATGATAAGGAATATCTGTAGTTCTTTCAGAGTCAATAAAAGATACTGCATCTATAAGAATATGTGTTTCTGTTTTACTTCAATAAGCATTTTATTGAGGTGTATTATAAGTGTTATTATATTATAAATTTTATATACATATAGAAACATTCAGAAATAATAAGTGTACAACTTGAGGTATTACCACAAAGTGAACACATTTCTGTAACCACTACCCAGATCAAGCATTACAAACATCCTACCAGCCTGCTTATGTCTCCTCCCAATCATTACTTTCTGCCTTCTCCTAAGAGATAATCTCTGTACTGACTTTTAACAGATTAATGACTTATATTTTACATTTATATAAATGGAATTACATAGTACATATTTCATGAATACATTCTTGTACTAAATATTGTTTGTGAGATTCATTTATGTTGTGGCACATAACAGTAATTTTCTGATTTTCAGTACTGTATAGCACACTATTGAATGAATACAACTTATTTTATCTATCCATTTTCAGCTGTTGTGAATAACGGTGCTAGAAACAGTCTTCTACACTTCTCTTGGGGCATTCATGTAGGCATTTATCTCAGAGCAGAATGAATGCATACTTCAGCATTCTTAAATTCAGTTACTATTTTTTTTATTCTAGAATTTCATTTGATCCTGTTTTGTAGTTTCCATTCACAAGATAAAGTCCTCCATCTTGTTATCACATTTCTCAAATATGTTAATCAGTTATTTTAAAGCACTTAGCTCACAACTCCAATATTTGGATCTATATGTGGACCTAGTTCTATTATCTGTTTGTTTTTCCCTTGGTCTTGTCTCTTGGTGTATCTGATAAGTTTTGAATGAATGATGGACATTGGATATCAAAAACTATAGGAGATATTTTGAGGCTCTACACAGTGTTTCCCTCCTCTGAAGATATAAAACCAAAAAGTAAGAGAAGTAAGTGCAAAAGACTGAAAATATGATGGAAATGCTAACAATATTAGGTATTAGTCCAGGGAGTTCACTATCAAAACAAAAGTGTTCCAGAAAGAAAGACTAGAAGAAACAGAAATATTCAATCCCAAAATTCAAGGCCAGATATTTTTGGATTGACTTTGCTCATCACATGCTAGAACAACTAGTGAAAAAGACTCACCACCGTGAAATTTTAGAACAGGAAAGATAAGGAGAAGATCCTTTAAGCTTCCACAATTTAAAAAAATACAATTTACATACAACGGATTGGGAATAAGAATGATATCTAACTTCTTAATAGCAACATAGATGATAGAAGACCTTGAAACTCTATGTTTAAAAGTCAAAGGAAAAATTATTTTCAACCTAAAATTCTGTATGCATCCAATCTATTAATCAAATGACACAGAATGAAGATACACGGTCTCAAAAATTTAGTTACATCGTTTCTCAGAAAAGATCACAAAGATATTCTCCAAAAAAATGAATGAGTAGGTGAAGGAAAAGAAGTATATGGGATCCAAAAAACAGAATATTTCATCCAGGAGAAAAAGAGAGAATCTGCTCCAAAGAAGTAAAGTCTTAACAGCAAAAACATGGAAACAACCCAAATGCCCATTAGTGATAGACTGGATAAAGAAAATGTAGTATACATACACCAGGGAATACTATGCAGCCATAAAAAGGAATGAGATCATGTCCTTTGCAGGGACATGGATGGAGCTGGAAGCCATCATCCTCAGCAAACTAACACAGGAACAGGAAACCAAACACTGCATGTTCTCACTCATAAGTGGGAGCTGAACAATGAAAACACATGGACGCAGGGAGGGGAATAGCACACACTGGGGCCTGTTGGAGAGTGCAGAACAGGGGGAGGGAGAACATCAGGAAAAATAACTAATACTTAATACTTAGGTGATGAGTTGATAGGTGCAGCCAACCACCGTGGCACATATTTACCTGTGTAACAAATCTGCACATCCTGCACATGTACCTCAGAACTCCAAATTAAATTAAATTAAAAACAAAAAAGTAAAGTAAGAGAAAAAAGCAAAGGGATTTCTAGAATTAAGGTCAAAGGAATTCAAAGGGTGACTCTTGGACAGCATATCTATAGAACTGTCCAGAGTTTAGCAGAAAAATGGAAACTTTCAGGAGAAAAGTCTCCAGGAAAATAATGTATTTGATAAAGTGTGTTTGAACATGCAGAATAAAATTGATTGTGATGTTGTACTGCTAATGGAGGATTTAGAAAGAATTAATGTTATGAATGTAGAAAGCCACAACAAAACAAAGCAATAATCAACGTCAAGGAAAACAAAAAGTTGTACAAGAGAAGAAATATAATCATAATATATCATGTAGCTCAGATGTGCACAACTTTTTTTTAAGTAGATCTTATTTTTTTTTTGTAGCAGTTTTAGGCTCACAGCAAAATTAAGTGGACAGTATGGAGTTTTCATCATGTCCCTTGTCCCCACACATGCACAGCCTTCCCCACTGTGAACATGCATACCAGTATGGTACATATGTTACAGTTGATGAATCTGCACTGCAACATCATTATCATCCGAAGTCTGTAGTTTACGTTAGAATTCATTCATTCATTCTTTGGGTTCTTGCAAATAAGTAAAGACCTGTGTCTCGTACTATAGTATCACACAGAGTAGTTTCACTGCCCTAAAGATCTTCTGTGCTCCAACTATTTCTTTGATCCTTCCCCCAACCCCTGGAAACCACTAAATTTTTTTTGTCTCTCTAGTTTTGCTTTTTCCAGAATGTCATAGTTAAAATTACACAGTATGTGGCCTTTTCAGATTGGCTTCTTTCACTTAGTAATATGCATTTAAGGTTCCTCCATGTCTGTTGAGGGCATCATAGCTCAATTATTTTTAGCATTGGATAATATTTCATTGATTACATGTACCACAGTTTATTCATCCATTCACCTATTGAAAGACATCTTCATTGCTTGCAGGCTTTTGCAATGATGAATAAAGCTGTTATAAACATTATTCTGTAGGTTTTTTTGTGGACATACTTTTCAGCTCATGTGGATATAGCAAGGAATGTGATTGCTGGACTGTAT